TATAGAATGCTAAGAAGCTAGCACCTCCTCTATCTGCACACTTATTTCTACTAATGTAGTCTGAAATTGCATTAAGTTTCTTGGCAACTAAGTACTTGTTGGTTCACCATACACTTGCTGTCAACTAAAACCTCAAGTTTTTTTTAACATAAATTACAAACACTATGAAATTTATAAATTTAAAAGTAACTTATAGACTATAAAGTACTATACTAATGTGATTTATTAACAGTAGCATATATGGCAGATTTGACCCACATTTAAAGAAAAGAAGTTTACAGAATTACATTTTAATTGGTACATAGTCCTACTTCTTTTGAAAAATCCCTATACAATTTTTTAAAAAGTAGGTTAAACCAATCTGCCTGGAAATAATACAGGCAAATCTCTGAAACTAGGAGCTTTATCACCCTTGGACTCTAATTTCTAAAACACTCCAGGGATTAACTTCAATCTGGGAAGCAAGCAGCACAATTTTTATTATGCAGGCTGCTCTGGACAACCACTGTCAGGTCAGAATGTTTATACACAGGGCAGAGTCTCTTCATCAAACATGCGCATGGAAATCATAGCATTTGATAGCTGCTTAAAGGAAAATAGCCATCTTGGGAAAGCAGTAAGTGCCCTACCTAACAACTAGAATCACTTGTTATTTCAGTTCAGAAACTTGCTAAACACAAAGTACAGAACAGTACAGTAGATGCTTTGAAAGCTGCTAAAACAGTGGGATTCCTACTTTTATTTTTGAGAGAGAAGATAGATAAATAGTACTCTCGTTATATAAAGTAATGATTAAAGGGCTCACTTTCATATTTATTCAACATTCTATGGAATAATAAAGATCACTTAGGAACAACAGTAATTATCTTTAGGGCATCTGGAATTTCATTAATCCAGAGGCCACAAGTTTTTGTATCCTCTTCGGTATAGAACATTTGCTGACATGTTTGCTCATCACTTCAGTCAAAAGGCACATCAAAGTCAGGAAACTCCAATAATTGTGTCTGGCTGGAGTGAAAGTGTTTATGGGGAAAGAGAGCTGATCAGGCTACACTGGTAGGCAGGCACAGATATACATGGGTTTTATATTGGAGCCAAGCATGTGATGTTTTTGTGCAGCCACTGCCCTTCCGGATATGCTTCTAGGGACAGAAATTTCCCAGCACAGATCCCTCTTCACATGGTTTGGGGAGGCAGAGTAACTCTGTCCCTCTCACTCCCACACATGACCTAGGCCTGGACAATCAGAGGCCACTATCCCTTAGGCCACGGTGATTGGTACAGGCAAGCAGGTGACCGACGCCAGGCCAATCAGGGTCCTGCCTGAGCTTTGCTGAGAGTTACTGAGAAAACAATTCTTATCAGAGGGGGCTGCTGAACTGTCGTGACGGAGCTCTTGTGGGGGTGGGTGCGGACCCATCTTGATGCCAAAGTGGAGAGAGCCTGAGAAAGAAGCCAAGGCGGAGCCTTGATAGTATCATCTGTCCCTGAGCAAAGCTTGGTCTGCTCCCCTGGACTGAATGGTTATGCGAGCTAATAAATCCCATGTATTGTTTAGGTCAGTCTGAGTTGGTTTTTCTTATTTACATCCAACTTGGTTCTAACATTTATGTCACCACAGGGAATTTGACATTATGACATGAATATAAAACTTGACTGTATTTATTAGTATTATATATCTACACTGAATATATGTATATATGCATTGCACATGCATACATATATGTTGTAGATGTGTACTTATCATCTATCAATCTGTCCTTGTGTGGAGTTAGCACATGTACATACGTATTTAACATATACCTGTTGAAAGCAGTGTTTTGAGGCCTCCACATTGCCATAGTCTCAATTATAGCAAATTCTGCTTCTTATTTAGGTTCTAAATTTGGATGAATGTACAGATTCTGAAATTTACTATCCAGTGATATATTCACAAAATAGAGAACATTGCAATTGTAAGCCTCACTTCCTGCCTCATCTTCATAGTTTTATGATGCATCCTAATAAGTCAATGTCTAAAGTAAATGTTCTAATTTTAGATGGTGCTACCTTTTCTATCAAAGCCACTTTAAGGTAGCATCATTTCCAGTACACTTATTAGTAAAGACATACTCCCAAGGAGGGAAGTAATTTTCACATTTTTTCTAACTGAATGAGGCCTTTAAAAACAAATACTCATCTATGATGTATGGAATTTATTTTAAACTAAAAATTATGTCACATTTTTGCCATGAGTAAATAATTACATTTTTTCCTTTCATCCTCCCTTCTCTCCAGACCCAGTATATGTGAATTGATCCACTGAAAAATTACATTGAATTTTCCCAACAATTCAATCAAATGTAATAATACATTAATGTTATAGATGGGCTGCAATGCAAACCAGTACATCTGCAATAATTTGACATGTTAAGTAAGAAAGATTTCTTATTTTAAAAAAGTAATCAATTCTAACTTCATTCTTTCTTACTGATTGATCAAACTGGGCTTTGGGTGTAGCACTTAAAACAGGCCTAAAGCATCAGAAAACATATAAGCTTTGCTCACCCTGCTAACTCTTAATTTCTGAATGTAATCAAAGGCCTGGCTGGAATTTAGATGTGCAAAGTTAAGATTCAGCTGTGAAAAGACACTTGATACCCATAGAAAATAGGCACCAGAATTTAAATGTGTGCTTTGTTTCGTGCATTAACCAATGGGGCCAGAGAAACTCCATGTAGAACTGGGTCAGTTCAAACTCAGTTTAGGAAGTGTGTTAATGTTTCTCTTACACGACTTACACTTTCAGAAGAAAAACATTCAGTAAGTGCACTTTCTTCTGTTAGGCCAAATGTCAGATTGTGTGTGTGCTTCCATGTTTACAGAAGCACATTTAAGAATAGCTAAATCTTGGAAGCAACTTATATGTCCATCAACAGATGAATAGATCAAGAAAAACTGTTATTTATATGCCATGGAGTTCTATTCCGCCATAAAGAAAGAAAGAGAAACTTGGAGCCAGGGTTTTAGCCATGGTGCCACCGCCTGCTTTGTAAGCACAAGGGCCTGAGTTTGATCCCCTGAACCAAAACATAAAACAAAACAATGCAAAACAACAACAAACAAACAAAAAAGAAAAAGAGAAAGAGAAGTGAGTCATTTATAGGAAAACAGATGTACCTCAAGAGCACCATGTTAAATGAAATAAAGTAGGCACACAAGCATAGTTTGCTTAGTTTGCGTAGTTTGAGAAACAGAAATTATAAATAAAGAGCAAAATAAAAGATTAGATAATCTTTTATTATCTAATAAGTAGGGAGATAGATCTTTCTCAAATGGGAGAGGAATCAGAGATGGAGGGAGAGGAAGGGAAAGGGAAGGGGACAGAAAAAGAATAAAGATGTGTCATGTACGTGTACCAACTCCACACAAGGAATGTAAACATGATATACCGAAAACGTGGACTAATAAAACTTTAAAAAACTAACAAAAGAAAAATTAAGCACAAATTGGAAATTATCTTTTCTTTTGATGCCTAAACTAGTGGTTTGCATCTTGTGGCTGCACATGAAACTCAACCGTGAAACTAAAAACTAAAACCTTGATTCACCTCAGGGGATTCTGATTTACGCAGCCTGGGATGGGACACAAGCGTTGGTAAACTTCTCCGGTGATTCCAACAGGCAGCCACGTAGGAGAATGAAGGAAACACGCTTTTCTAACCCTTCAGGTGTTATTTAAAGACAGGTACAGCAGTCTACTCTTACATGAACAACTGCGCAAATTATCTTATTTCCCAGGTTTTGATTTCCTTGTCATTAAAATGTGAAAAATGCTATACACATATATATCTCATTGAATATTTTTAAGGATTACCAAGATAAATAATGCAACCCAGGATAATGCTTAGTTAAGAGGGACTGATTACTCAGAAGCCTAAAAGGATTCAAATAGGTACTGAGGCTACGTCTAGGACAAGAGGGGCTGGTAGGGGCTGTGGCAAAACAGGACTCAGTATAAAGGAGTCATCAACTGCTTGGTTCTTACCAACTGTCATGTAGAAGTATGGATCGGTTCTCCTAAACCTTGCATTTTTTAGGAAAAGAAAAAAAAATCTAGATATTTCAAGTGTCAAATGTCTTTACTTTTAAAGTGACCAAAAAAGCATGCCTATCTATTAACAATTTTCTACATGGAAAGTGTTAATTCCCTTTTATCCTATTATAAGCACACTCACATTACCCAGTTGTGAATGGTTTCATGATTTGTTCTTGTTTTAGGTTGGTTTGGCTTCTCTGTCAAGTATTACTTCCTACATAGATCAGGGATTTCTAGCTATGACTAGGCATTAATGAATCTATTCTAATACTCTTCAGTTCTCACACAGTTAAAATAAAACTTGTCTATCATGCAATATTCCCATTTAGTAACAATTTTATCTTCCAGATCTCCTCCTATTGACAATTATCTGACCTGTGATACTAGAATTCTTCCTTCAGTTTCAATCCCCAGTGTTTGTTATAGTCATAATTTAATATTTTTATTTGTCTCTTTTGGACATAACAACTGCTACCTCTGGCTATTTGAAAGACACCAATAGGCTTAGTTTCTTATTAAAAAATCTTAGTATGCTATATCCAGTAACAGCATTTAGCTTCATTTTTGCTGACATGTATCCCTTTTTTTGCCCAAGGTAGATATGAATTATGTTGAGTTCTTTCAATAAGAGGCCAAAAGTTCTCATCTCCTACTGCAGCAGCTAAGAATGGAGGTCTTGGGTTTGAAGCAGACTTGCTAACAATCCTTGTTACCATTATGAGGCATGAAGAAAATAGAGGAAGTAACAACTTTGCTGTATGAATTATGGGGTAGAAACAAACCTGTTCAAAAAATTTTAAAATTTAACATTTATTTGAGGCCTACCATCAATCATTATATAGAAGTTTTTGGACTCACACCAAAAATATGCTTCCAACAGAGCTGTATGTGAGATTAGTTAATGCTTTGTTTTTCATTGCTAGAGATGAAACCCAGTGCCTCAAGAATGCTGATGGTCTTCCACTGATCAACATCCCCAGCCCTAGGTAAGGTCTTTTGAGAATGATAAGTTGATGTTGAAGACCTCCTTATATGAATGCAGGCTTAACTACATCAATTAGAAAATATCCAGATGCCCAGGGTAGATGATAATTGATATGTAAGTTGGTAATGATAAATAACTAATGAAAATAAGATGATTCATGATTGATGCATAAAATTGACTCCCACCGGCAGAACATGAGAACCAATTAACAAAACTTTTCTGTAGAACATCGCGTTTACAGAACTCCCATTTCACTTAGAGAAAGGTGGGAAGATTAACCCTGGGAAGTGTACATTCCTTGGAGGGCAACATTTCCCTTATTCTTCTATGGGTGAAATCAAATAATAAAACTTATGAAACTTAGCAATCTGATTACTTATTGTATGTGTACACAAGGGTAGCTTCCTTGCTTCCTTTTTCTACTCCCATCCTTTCTTCCTTCTTGACAACAAGGAAAAAAGTAAACATTCACTGTTATGATGCAATCAATTGCATGAGAGTAAGTAATTACCATCCTCTGAAGTTTTGCTTAAAGTATTATTAAAGACATCTTTACTTCTTTACAGGTAGCATGGACAGTACCAGTACTTTATGTACTGTATTTAAAGTAGGGTCCCTACTAACTGATCTTCACAGAACAATAGGAAGCTGGAGGCAACCAAGACAGAATCTAGATTAAATTTCTCATTTAATAGAGAAAATGACCAAGGCCTTTACTGGCTAAGATTTAAACAACAGCCAAGATTGAAACCCAGGTCTTCTGACCCCAAGTTAACAGTACTTACAAATCTAGTAAACATCCAAGTTAAAAAGACAATACAATCCCCAAAGTCTGTAATTCTTAGATTGTTTAATTGAAAATGTAATTAATAGGCTTAAAATTAAAAAGAGTCTTTCCATTTGGTGAAAAACTCTGAGTAGTACCATACAGGTTAAGAAATGATATTGCTATTCACTTGTTTAAATGTTTAATCAGTAGCTTTGATACAATATACATCCTGTAACCCTTAAGTCTCATCAAAATAAGGCAAAAGAGTGGCATTGAAGAAATTTTGTTCTTTCTCAAAATGATTAATTATGATTATCAAAGTTCTGATATTCATGTTCACTGCCAAAAAATAGATTAGACTGGGATATTGAATGCAGTGTTATAATGAATGTGCTGTGAATAGAACACATATTTGGCATCAGAAAATTCTGAGGTCCAATCCCATCCAGCTACTTCGCAACTGGGAAAGTATAAACTCTGTAAGTTCTTTATCTGCAAACTGGGTATATTAGCGCTTATGTTACAGGATTCCTCCGAGGATGAAATAAGATGATGGACATGAAGCACCTGGGTCTGAAGCTCATGAAGGTCTAATGTCTCACTCCTAAAATTTAACATCAGTTGGTAAGTACAGGAGTGGCTAAGTCTTCTGAGTTTGCTGGTATTGGACAGATCCAAAACTACTTGGAAACTGAACACCCTTAAGAGAATACATTTTTATTTTAAAGGTTTGTTTCACACAAGCCATTCAGTTCCAAGTCTAGTGTCAATTAAGAAGCTCCCCTCTTTCATATTTATTGCTGGTTTATAGCACTCAACATAAACTTTATATCCCTTTCATTGCCTCATTCAGTATGCACACAGGACTTACAAAATGTTTGTTGAATGGACGCCACTGAACTTCCAATGTGTTTACTTTGATATAAATATTGACACAATGAAGCATGTATGAATGTAAACTCAGGGGATGGCACTTGGCTCATTTTGTTTACAGCTATAACCTCGGTGCATATAGCAGCATCTGACACATGAGTCTTCAAAAATACTTGTTGAATAAATGAATGAAAGCAGATGTGTAACGTCCCATTCCAGACACTATCCAAGGCATACATAGTTCTTGTTTTTAAAAAGCCCTAGCTATTCCAACGAATCAGAGGAGGGACCAAAAAGCAGCAGGACACATTTAAAAACTGTCTATATTTCCACCATCCAAGTGTGCAAGTTTGCTCATTATTTGCAACTATTGCTATTAAGAGAGGAAAAAATGAGAATCAAGACTTGTCATGTAGAGGTACAAGATCCCAACAATGAGTGTAACTGTACTGTATCCCTAAAATGTACCAATAAACTCAATTAAAGCTGAAAAAAAAAGAGAGGAAACTTGAGATATGTCCCCAAACTAGACTAAAATTAAAAGTCCTGTTCTCAAGGACTTTCTTAGAAAGCACGGATACCATTTGTCCTTATTGCCATATCAAAAAGATTTTTTTTTTGCATGTTTGTGAGCTTTCTGTAATTTATAAACAAAAAGTAAACATTATTTAAGTTTTGTTTGGTTTACCTCTCTCTACCGATCAACTGCAAGTTTGGTGAGATTGGGGACCGTGATGGAGTCATGCGTGCATCTCCAGGTTCTGACACTGTCGGGCTTCTGTGAGTGCTCCAATCTTTAATGGATGAAAGCATCCTTGTTTATTCAGAGGAAATTTACCTAAGTACTAAACCCCATATCTGGGAATGCAATGTTCATGCCTCTTTCCCATTTCCTTTACATGAGCTAAGAGTGAAAATTATTCTTCCTTTCTCTCCCTTCTTTCCTTCTTCCTCTCTTGTCTTATTTCCTTCCTTCCTTTTAATACATATCTACCTTGGGGTAACATTGGGTCATTTTATTGCAAGTGACACAGATGGGTGCATACAGACAGCATCTATAATATGAATGGGATTCTTTTAAGTGACCAGATCATCACGTTGCCATCGAGTGTACAGCAGAGAGGGCTAGCAGGCTCCCTTTCCAGTTCTTCTCTTATTCAATGCCAACTGGGCCCTCAGTCTTATTGGTATCCAATAATCAGCCCGATTACAGCTAGCCCTGGGAGACATGACAGAAAAGCGAGTCCTCATCTTGCATTAATTGCTCCTATTGAAACTATGCCACATCTCTCCAAGCTAGATGTTGCTTAGTATCCCTTTGATATGATAATGACATGCTTCTTAGCAGATGAATATGCAAATTAAAAGCAGTAATTTGGTGGCATGCACCTGCTGACACTGCACGGCTATGCTTATGTGCTCTGCTGTAACACTGCAGCCACACAAAAGCATCACAGAGGTAAAATTAAATTCTAATGTCGTATATATTAAACAGATGCTTCCACTTTTCTTTGTATATCTACTTTTACAGATTTTGCCATTGGAATCTCGGTTCTCTCTTCATGCAATTAATGGACATTGATGTGTCATACACAGAAGCATACTCAGTGCCATTTAAGGGTGCTGATTTTAAAGAGGTTGCTTACATATATGCACATTAGAAGATGAACATTTCTTCTTCGTAGCATAGAAGCTGATGACTTTACTTTTGTGGCACAGATTCCTATTCACACATGGAACGCATCCTTGGGCTGCAAAGCCGAAAATCACATTTCTATAGCAAAGATGTGCACGAAAGTACAGAGATACTTTATTTTTGCCTGGAAAAGGATTTCAAAATGACTTGAAGAGGCTAGCAGAATATCCAGAATCAGTGAAGTAAATGTGTCTGCATTATGAAGCAAGTTGTAATGCATGAGAAAGCCCAACTGGTGATTACTTAGGTATGACCTGTAATTACCTTGGTAACCTAGAAGTCTTTATCAATGTGTCAAATGGGTGACCCAGACAAAATTAAGCATTCTGAAGACAAGATTTTATAAAAGGTGCTACTTATCTGTCCTCCTTTAATATGCACCCTTAAGCCTAGAGAGCATTCTATAGTTACAAATGTATGTTTAGGACACTAGCTGAACTGAGTGAGATTGAACCATTTAACAAAACACACATTTAAATATGCATTTTGTATAGCATTTATTTTTTATCATGCATTTTAATAACTACATTTAATATCGATATGTTGTTGGGTATCTATGTTCCTTCCAATTCTAGGATTATATAAATAATGCTGCAATGAACATCTTCTAACAAATAGCATTTTCTTCCTTTTGATTATTGCCCTGGAGTAACCTTCCAGAAGAGAAATCACAAGATTAAAGGATGAGGCCACCTTTAAGACTAAAACCTTTAGCAAACAGCTTGCCTTATTTCACAATGTCACACTTTTGAGAATCTTAGCAATAGAAACTCTTACAGGAGTAAAGACCTTATTTTTATTTTCCGTATACAGGCATGTCACAGAATCCATCTCTGTGTATTTTTATGCAAATCTTCTAATAACTACTTATTTGGTAAATGGAGACTTGTGTGAATTCATATCATTTTATAACCTCTGGCTATCCTAAAAATATTTCTACAATTCTAGTTAGTTTTAAAATTTTAAGGAATAAATAAAAAGAGTTATAAAATTTGAGTTAATAAAGGTATATTTTAATTCTTTTATTTTCTCATTCATTCATTCATTTTTTTTGAGAAGGATCTCACTAAGTGGCCTCGGAGACTGGCCTCAAATTTGTGATCCTTCTGCCTCAGCCTCCCAGCTGCTAGGATTGCAGATGTGTAACACTATGCCTGGCAATTCTTTTCTTCTGGGAAAAAAATTACCATTTATTGATGCATGTCGAAAAGCTGCCTTTTGAGGGGCCAAGGATTTAGCTCAGTGGTTCAGCTGCCTGCTTCAGAAGCCCAAGGACCTGAGTTTGATCCCTGGTACCAAAAAACAAATAAACAAACAAACCCCCCAAAAGCTGCCTTTTGAAAAACATGGTGTGAATGATTTATATATGGACAGAGTAGAAGTTGTACACAAGTAGAGAGTAATTCATTGTTATTTAATAATGCCATTAAACACCCAGGAGTAAATACTAAGAGAACACAATTCTTCTCTTAACCCCTCAATCTTTTATTCTATGTAGTTTACATCCAATTGAGGAATAATTATTCTTAACTGCAAAAAAGTCCTACTAAGGTTGAACTTACTGGAAGGAAATATCTGCTACATTTGTACACACTTTAACTCTTTACCTCGAGGAATCATATTTGCATGTTTTCAATTGTTGTAGTCCTTGAAAAATACAGAGAAACAACGTGAAAAAGAAAAAAGGTCAAGATTTGTGGGACTCTCTAACATTTCATTTTCATTTATATTATTCAACAAATGAGTTGTTTTTAAAGATTAGTTACAGATTGTTTAGGATGCCTAGATCCTCACTATTTAACATCCACTTTATCGGCAAAATTTAACTTTTCAATGGAATAAAAAGTGTTTGCACTGATTTAGGATGATTTCAAATAACTGAAAAAAGACCTGAGAAGCTGTTCCATTCTTCTCTACTTTATTCTAACCTTTGAAAATAACTGTGACTTTTTAAAATTCTTAAGAGTAAGATGCATATTTTGACACTTAGGCTGTCATAATAGTGGAAAGTTCCCCTTATCAGGAACCAGGAGACTTGGGCTTTAGATACAGTTCTGACATCACAAGCTAGGAAAGCAATTTACTTAACTTCTCTAGGCTTCACATTTTCACCGGAAAGAATTATCCATGTAACAAGTATTTAGTGAGTGACTACTGTGTGAGAGGTACTGTATACTGTAATAGAGCTATGGTAGGGAATAAAACAAGGGCTCACTCTTTTTTAAAAACATTTATTTATTGGTACATTTTAGGTAGACACTCTTATGGAGCTTACGTTGTAATATGTGAGATATATGAAAAATAAAAGCATTTAACACAAGCACTTTAGAGAGCTCCTCACCTCTTTTCTTCCCTGTCCTTTATAAGCAATACCATTATTTATTATTATTAAGATTAAGAACAATCATAGCTGCCATTATTAGCACTTACTACTACACCCTAGACACTATTGTAACAGTATAAGCAAATTCATGCACTTAGGCTTCATAAACATCACAAGAAATAGAAGTCATTATAATCCTCATATTTAAAATGCGGAAAGAGACCCAAAGAGATGCAGCGACTTTTTCAAGGTCACAGAGCAGACGAATGACGTTACTGGACTTGAACATGGCAGAATGTCCCTCCAGAGCTGTTATCTCAGGCATTATGGCACGCTAACTTAATGGCAGCGTTTGACTTGGTTGATTACTCCTTCTCTTCAAAACATTTCCTTCTTTTATCTGTCAGGACACCGCTCTTCCTTGGGTTTTCCCTATTGCCCTGGCGGCTCCTTCTCAGTCTTTGCTATTTCTCCCTGCTGGCCTTCCTAATTCTTCACACTGAAATATCCCAGTCCTGTAATCTCTTCTCTCTCTGTTCACTCCCAAGGTTATCTCACCACAGATATTTCACCGCTTTGAGTAGCCTGTGAAAGCTGACGACTCTTTGGCTTTTTTAAAATCTTCAAACCGATCTCTCCATGAAATCCAGATTTGAATATCCAGTGCCTCCTTGATAGCTCCACTCTGAGACACGGGCGTCTCCAATTTAACGAATCTGAAGGGAA